CGGGGGGCTCTGCCACGTCATTAAATGTGCAAATGGCCCCCACAGATCCTGGCCCGTCCTCTCAGCAGGACACACGGCCCAGCAAGGTACTCGGCCTCCCTCGCCGACAGGCTGAGCTCTGGGACTCGGGAATGCCGGAGCGCTGGGTGGGGGGCGCTAGGGTGCCAGGACACCCAGAGCCCGGCATGATGAATTAGTTGTATCCTCTGCATTGTTGCCTGTTTATTGTTCATCTTTTGTTATTTATTTCTTACTGTCTGCTGCTCTTTCTGCTGGTTGCGGCTGACAAGTCAGTGTCCCATTACACTTGTTGTGCATGGCCAATGGATCATCTTGAGTTTTCAATCCCAGTGGGTTCCAGTGAGACCCAGTAAGGTGAAATCCAGTCCGATGAATTCCGCTTTCCTTGCTGGTTTCCAGTAGAGCCGGGCCTCTTCTTCATGGATCCACTTGGTGGCCTGGACACGTCTCTCCCTGGCATCTGTGTGCCTCACTCGCCGCAGCTGAATGGCGTGATTGTAATCACCAGTCTCTGTCAGCTGTGACAAAGAGCCTTGAGTTCTGCACAGTTGCGACTGTGATTTGTGCATTTGCACGATTATCCTTGGATAATGTTGCATTGTCTGGCCGCTTTCTGTGAAGGTGTGGTGTGGCACTCTCGCCGTCATCCTGCTTCTGCACGCTTCGATCCCCTCTGGGGAAATCAGCCTTCAGGATCCTGGCGGCAACCTGCTTGTAGAAAAATGTGCTGCGTTAGTTGAAATTGGATTGATTGATATTATTCTTGTCCCTCTCTATTACACGCTGATTCCACACATTAGGGGGCTGCCGTGCTCCTTATCGTGGCTCTGCCGCTTAGCCGGAGCTCACCAAAATGCTGGGCTTTCGCACGTCGCCCCGCTGCACCTGCAGTGCTCTCTGTTGCCCGAGAAGATGTCGCCTCGCACACAGAACGCGGTTTTCTGGGAAACCACAAAGTGAGTACCTGCCCCCCAGGACCGTTAGGTGCCTGGCCCCTCCCCCTGCACTGCGGTCTGTCCACTCC